AAATCCTGGGCCTTTTACCCATATTATCTGAAGCAGTGATTCTTTAACTTTAATCGGCATCATAATCACCTGGAGGGAGGGAGCATTCCCACCACCACAGGTTGCTGGCCCCACCCTTGCAGTTCCTCAGTCAGTAGGCCTGGGGTATGGCCTGATAATTCGCATTTCTAAGAAGTTTTCAGGTGCGTCTGGTGCTGCTGCGTGGGGTTCTCCACTTTGAGAACCACTGATCTAAAAGATCACATGGCTTTTGTTGTAACAAGATTAAGAGGAGGCTAGGGAGGGAAAAAATTTCTGTAGAAATGGTACCCCAGGTAAATTTTTTTTTGAGTCTTTCAAGATAAGTAAAATTATATAGGCTTGAGTTTTGTTCACATTCTTGCAACTTTAAACCGTCCTGGCTGTGTTTTCAGACCTAGGTTTTCTGAATAGTTGGTTTGTTCCTGTCTTCTCTTCCCAGACCATTAGCCATTGATTGGGAGAAAGTTCGGGGGAAGGAAAGTAAAAGGATGGCTTACTGGAGATAATCAGGAGCCTTAATTTTATTTTAACTCCTTGATGTTGTATTCTAAAAGGTTCTGTATTGTTACCTTCCTTTTAAGTAACATGAACTAAATGAACTCTTCTGAGGGCTTGAGCTTGCCATGTTTGGGCACCAGTGATTACACTGTGATTGCACTGTGATGCCTTCTGGGGGTTTCTCACTCCCCTCTCTCCCTTCACTAAATAATCCCGGATGGTGGTGCATTTTGAGTGATCTGCTCTGTCTGGTGTTTTCCTGTCTGTCATCACTGTCAGCAGTTAGAATGCATTAGAATGCATCTCTCCAACATTCCTTTTCATTCTGCTTTACTTTTGTATTCAAGGCTGTGAAAAAAAATGAAAAGGTTGACATTGTGAAATAAGTGAAAATAGGTTATTGTTAACAAAATGAAGTGGTCTTTATGAGATTTTAATGTAAACCTTTCCGTATGTGTTTTTCCCCCTAATTTTTATAACATGGCCAAGAGCCCAGTCATTACTCATATACCTGATATACATTAGTTGTGCAGAGATCTAAAATACACAGACTTCATTGGCTGTTAAAAACTTTGTTGGCCAGACATAGTGCGTGATCTGTTTGTGTGTGTGTGTGTGTGTGTATTTTATTTACTCAACTATATAAAGGGTTCTATTCTTCCTTGTTCAGAATAGTCAGTTATTTGATTAGGTATCTACACATCACTTCGTCATTGCTGGATGGTAGTACGTTATTGTTTGAAGAGGAGTTGAGGCTCCTTCTGAGACAACAACCTTAAATTCAGAATTTTAAAGTTTCTGCTAGAAGATGTATTCCATCTCACCAGGCCAACACCTTTTTTCCAGAGATGAGACTGAGATCTCTTTGTGGCCAGGCTCCGTTACCTAAAAAAATACCATCGTCTCCTTCAGGATCCTCTTTTCTTCCCCATCTCAGCTAGGAAATCCTCCTTTCAAGGACAATTTCACGCTGCTTAGTACCATTTACTCTTTACCTGTCTTCAGGTTAGATCGCTTAGATTATTCTGCAGCCGCAACCAGAGCCTGTTCTAGATATCCCCTCTGCTAGCATTGGTGATTTAATTGTTTGTTTCTGTTCTTTTTTGAAAGAACTAGGAAGGGTTAACAAAGGGTGGTGAAGAAGACTGTCACCGTGTGGGGACGGAGGGAGAATTCCCTGTGGAGGGCAAGGTAACCCACAGAAAAGCTGACTTTCTATATATTTGAGGGAGGTTTTGAAACCATTAATAATTTATTGAAAAAAATCAAATTGGAAAGCAATCTGGCAGTTCCTCATGGTGAAGCATAGGGTTACCATATGATCCAGCAGTTCCCCTCCTGGGTACAGACCTGTATTCATTGCCTAGGTCTACTTTAACAAAGTACCAAAAACTGGGTGGCTTGAACCAACAGTTAATTTTCCCATGGTTGTTAGAGCCAGAAGTCCTAAATCAAGGGTCCTGCTCTCTCTAATGGCTCCAGGATAGAATCCTTTCTTGCCTCTTGTAGTTTCTGCTGTTTGCCAGAAGCCTTTAACATTCTTTGGTTTGCAGATGCATCAGTGCAACCCTCTGTCTTCACTTGGTGTTCTCTTTGCGTGTGTCTGTTTCTTGTCCGTTTTTCCTTTTATAAGGACACCAATAATACTGGACTAGGACCTACCCCAGGGGCCTCATTTTAACTTGATTACCTCTATAAAGACCCATTTCCAGACAAGGTCATATTCTGAGGTCCTGGAGGTTAACTTCAACATATCTTTTTTGGGGGGGGATACAGTTCAACTCATAACAATACTTAAGAGAAATGAAAACATATATCCACTCAAAAACTTGTACACAAACCTTCAAAGCAGTATTATTCATAATAGCCAAATGTGGAAACAATCCAAATGCCCATCAAAGGGTGATTGGATATATTAAATGTGGTATATCTATACAATTAAGTGTTATTCAGCAATAAAAAATGAAGTACTGACACATGCTATAACATGGATGAACCCTGAAATAATTATTACATGAAAGAAGCCAGTCACAGAGGGTCACATATAGTGTTATATTTATATAAAATCTCCAGAATAGGCAAATCCATAGAGATAGAAAATAGATTGTTTCCTAGGGCTAGGGTGGAGAGGGAAGAGAGGTGGGATGAACAGTAATTACTAGTAGGTACAGGGTTTCTTGTCAGAGTGGTGAAAATGTTCTAAAATTGATTGTGGTGATGGTTGCACAACTCTGAATACACTAAAAGCCATTGAATAGTACATGTTAAGTGGGTGAATTGTATGGTATGTAAATTATCTAATTAACGCTACAAAATAATTTAATCAGTGAGGGTTAAATATGAAAGGACTTGACATTGGCCTAGAAAGCAATAGTTTAGGGCAAATACATGGAAGTGATAGATAACAAAGTAGTCATGCATGGATGCGCAGTATATAGTAAAAAATTAAAACACAGCTTTAACCACTGGGGCAGAAATGGACTTATGGAGATTGCTGAGAAATTAGCAGGCACTTGTCCTCAAGCTTCATGTAACTTCTTAAAGGTATGTATTTTTTTTTAAAGTTGGATGTATAGAACTAAATTACCTTTCAGAGATTAATGAAATAGAAGCAACCTTAAATTATAATTCCTATTCTTATCACTATAAATAGGATATATAGAAAGTATTTTTATTTAGGGAATAATTGATTTAAAATAGTGGTATTCACGTTAAGAAGAGGTGAATTGTACCAAGAGAGTAGGAAGTATGTGTAGAGAAAGGTGTAAGGCTGACAGCTGTTTACAAGAGAGGTGAAGGTTGGTGTACGGAGGGAAAAAAGGAATGGAAATGGTAGCGTTAGTGGCCAGGGAGGATGGTAGACTTTCAGGGGTAAAAATGGCAGAAAAGCCAGAATATGCCATTAGACACAAGCCAATAGCTGGGGAAACAAATGAGGAGGAGTAACGATTACTTGTCCATAAGAAAACAAGAGTGGTTTGCAATCCTGGCTCACCCATCTTGGATGTGAGAACAACTTTGTTCCTTTTTGGTCTAGA